GCCTAGGAATGTGCGTTTGGTCACACAGCTAGCCTGATGGTTTTGACCGACTAAAATTTGAGACTCACTTGGGCGCCTGGGTGGCTCAGTTGGTTGCGCACCGACTTTGACTCAGGTCACGATCTCGCGGTCTGTGAGTTCGAGCCCCACCTGAGGCTCTGTGCTGACAGCTCCGAGCCTGGGGCCTGCTTCAGATTCTGTGTCTCCCTTTCTGCCCCTCTCCAGCTTGCACTCTCTCTCTTTCAGAAACGAATAAATGTTAAAAAAAAATTTTTTTTTTATTAAAAAAAATTTTTTTTATTTAAATAAGATCCCTCCACCTATGTCACCTACCTGTGCCCAGGCTAATAATGACCAGGGCATTCTGGTGATCCCTGGGGTCCTCATGGGTGTGGGATGTACGGAAGCCAGGGGGGCGGGGGCACGTTCTGGACTGGTTGGGGACTTACCTGTATGGCCTTTCCCCCTCTTCCCCCAGCCGAGAAGGATCTGGATGAGGCCTACCTGAAGCGCCGGCACCTGGGGGAGATGCCCCGCGGGACGCTGCCCCTGCACACTCTTCGGCGACCTGGCACGGGGGGCGGCTACCGCATGGATGCCTGGGGCGGCCCCGAGGAGCTGGGCCTGGCGCCCGCGCCCAACCCGCGGCGCGTCATGTCCCAGGAGCACCTGCTGGGCGACGCGGGCCGCGCGCGCTACGAATTCACCCTGCCGCGCGCGCGCCTGGTGTCGCAGGAGCACCTGCTCCTCTCGTCGCCCGAGGCCCTGCGCCAGAGCCGGGAGCACCTGCTGTCGCCCCCGCGCAGCCCCGCGCTGCCCCCGGAGCCCGCCGCCCGCGCGGGTCTGGCCGCGTCCCATTCCAACTTGCTGCTGGGACCCGGGGGGCCCCCCACGCCGCTGCACGGGCTGCCCCCGCCGCCCGGCCTGCTCCCGCACCACCACCACGGTCTGCACGGCTCGCCGCAGCCCGCCTGGCTGTCGGACGCCGGCGGGGGAGGGGGCACGCTGGCGCGCAGGCCGCCCTTCCAGCGCCAGGGCACGCTGGAGCAGTTGCAGTTCATCCCCGGCCACCACCTGCCGCAGCACCTGCGCACCGCCAGCAAGAACGAGGTGACCGTCTGAGGCCAGGCCCGGGGGCTTGGGGGCTGCGGCCTCGCGGGGGCCCCCATCCCAGCCCGGATCCCTCAACACACTCCAGGGGCCTGGGACCCAGGATCAGCCTGTGGCCAGGGGGCTGCCTCCGAGGACACTGCTTTGGATGAAATCGTCACCGAAGACAAAACCTCCTTCTGGGATGTCACGGTAGATAAGATCCCTCCTCCTATGTCACCGTTTGAGGCAAGGCCTCTTTCCCATGACGTTATCACAGAGGAAGAGCCCTGCCTGTGAGCTCATCACTAGTGAAAATGTCTGTGTTCTGTGATGTCATCACAGGGACAAAACCTCCTCCCCATGAATCCGCCACAGAAGAATAGGCCCGCTCCTGAAGTCAACACTAGCGGCCATGTCTATGTTCCATGAAGTCATCACAGACTTTCTTCCTGAGAGGTCACAGCAGAGGCAATGCCTTACCCTATGACATCATCCCTAGAGACAAAGATTCCTTCCTGTGAATGTCATTGCAGAGACAAGTCTCACCCTTATGATGTCATCTCCGGCACCAAAAGGCCTCTTCTGACATCATCGCCAGGAAAATATTTTCTTCCAGAGAAGATGCCTCTGTCTATGATGTTGTCGCTACAGACAAAGCCATCTTCCTGGGGCACATCGCAAGCAAAATGCCTTGCCAACTGTGTCCTCGCTATCCATGGGACTGTCCACGACATTGTCACAGGGACTCTGCCTCCTTCCTGTGATGCCATCTCCAGAGAAGGTGCCTTGCCCTATGACATTATCAGAGGGACCGTGCCTCTTCCCGTGATGTCATCACCAGAGGTGACAACCTGCCCCTGGGGCACTCCAGGATGAGGCCCCTTCTGTGGTATCACCACTGGACTCTGCCTGCTCGGAGATGATGCTGTAAGACACCCGCACTGCTCCTGTCCTATCATGAGAAGGCAGGGCACGCCCAGAATCCATGACAACCCCCCAGGGTCACCAGAGAAAGTGCCCTGAGCTGAGACATCTGAGGGATGTTGTTGCTGCAGAGGCAACCCCACCCGGAGAGAATGGTCTGACTGTAGGTTGTTGGCAGCAGGCCCCCGCTGAGGTTCTGTCCCGGGATTGTGATGACGTCACCACAGACACTGCCTGCTCTGGAGGGCCATCATTTGTGACGGTGTCACCGGAGTTTCTGCCTTGTCCTGCCATGACTTCACTTGGTCACTCCTGTCCCTGACAGCAAGGACATGCCCTGCAGGACTTCCACCAGACTCTCCCTCTAAAGGGTGGCTGGGCCTCAGACCCCATCCCTGTGCAGGGATGTCACCTCCTGTGTGACTCCTCAAGGACAGGACCCCCAAGGAGGCCACTCTGGCCCACCAGCCTCCCAGAGTCGTGGGACTCGCAGCGGCCCCAAAGCTGGCCTCGCTTCTTTCTGCCATAACGAGAGACATCATTGCCTCTGTCAACAAACTCCTGCATTTCTGTTGGGGGTGAGGTGGGATGGGGTTGGTTGGGGTGTGCCCACTATTGATCTGGCTGATATCATCGGTGCCATAAGACTTCCACCACTCATGATGGCATTGTGCCCGGGGTCAAATGCTAACCATGTCTGATGATGACATCATTTCCCAGGATTCCCTATGACCTACGGTGTCCATCTCCCAGGATCTACCACAACCATTGTATCATCTCCTAGGACCCATCATGACACATTATGTCATTACCTTCCAGAATCCTCAATGGCTGATGGTAGCATCCTCTACCAGGATCCACTAGCACTGATGATGCCACCATTTCCCATAGTCCCTGATAACTGTGGTGTCCTCACTTCCTAGGACCCATGAAAGCCAATGCTATCATCGCCTCCCAGGATCCACTTCAACCATGATGTCATCACCTCCCAGGACCCATTTCAACCATGGGGTTATCACCTCCTAGGATCCATGAGAACTAATGGAGTCATTACCTCCCCGGACCGACTCCAACCATGGTGTCATCATCATCTCCCAGGATCCATGAGAGCTAATGGTGTCATCACCTCCCAGGATCCATGAGAGCTAATGGGGTCATGACCCCCCAGGATCCATTTCAACCATGGTGTCATCATCTCCCAGGACCCACCATGACCATAGCATCATCATCTCCTAGGATCCATGACACCCAAATATGTCATCATTTACTAGGATCCACTTCAACCATGTATCATCATCTTCCAGGATCCATCATCTTGAGGGCCAAGTACTACAATGGCTGCATTTCAGTTGTTTTCTGGGGTCCCATGGCACCTATAATCGCTCCCGTAAGGGGAACTAGCACAATAACACACCATTTTCCTATTCCCTCAAAAATGGAATAAGGTGAGGACCCCTCTGATGACATCATCCTTAGTCTGCCCCTTTTTAATGATGTCACTGCCTCTCCCCTGACTTAAGCTGATGCCTGCATCAACCCCACCACAGACCTGGTCTTGGCCAGACCCCATCACCCCCCTGGTGAGGGCATCCAGGCCCCTCCTGATAACTCACAGCCCTTCACCCAACCATCTCATCGGTGACAGGGTCAACACAGATACCTTTTATCATCACCAGGGAGTGTGTATGTGTGGGGGGCTTTACAGGTCTCAGGTGATATCCCTGCCCCTGTTACCTGGACCCCTATCCAAAACAGCACTCCATTGGCTTGGGCCAGACTTGACCTCATGGGCTGGGTGGGCAGCTGTGGCCTCTCTGGGGCCTTCAATCATGTCTTCTGCTGGCCTGATCGTGGAGCAGGCCCATCCTGAGGGCCACAGCCACTGCCAGTGCCATGGTGGGGTGGTGATCTGCATCATCTCAAGACGACGGAGAGGTAGTGTTCTCCCCCTCCCTCCCCCTCACACACCAGGGAGCCTCCAGGGGTTTTGGGGATTCCTCAACACCCAATGCACAATCTGCCCCAATTCCCTTTGTATATAGCCATGTTGCTGGGGGGCGGCCATTCCCCCACTTTTAAAGGGCTACATACCCCCTCCCCAGCCCCCAAGGCAAGGCGAGGGGGCCTCTTCTCCCTTCTCTGGGCCGTCCCTCTCCCTCTTGTCTCCCCCCCCCCAATACTGGCACCTCAGCTCATCCCTTCCCGCCAGGAGCCTGGGGCAGAGAAGTGGCCCTCAGCTCCCACCACACCGGGGGAACTGGGGAGCCAACCCCATCTACCTGGGCCCCAGTGCCAGTTTTTTGACTCCATGCTTATGGCTGCTCCTCTGGGTTCCTCCAATCCCTCCCAGGGCCTCACCGCGCCCAGTGCCCCTCAGGCAGACTGTGACTTCCCAAGAAAGGAGCCAGCTTGAGCACCTGCCCCCCTTGCAGACCCTCTGCTCACCTTCCCCACTGAGCACCCAGCTTTCTCCAGCCCCCAGAATTTGGGGGTTTAGGATCTTTCAGCTTTTGTACACGCCCCCACACACCTCAACTTGCTCTCTCCTGGCCTGGATTCCAGGAATCTCATTCCCCCTTCCCCGCACTCACTCTGCCACAGGCCGCCTGACCTCGGGGCCTTGACCTCTTATCTCAAATAAGCCATAGTGGGGAGAGGTCTCAAGGGGGCGAGGAAGCAGCCCTGTCCTGCCCGGTCACCCTCAATGCTTCCGGAGCCGGGACCTCGCCATCGGAGTCTTCCGCCCCTGATAAATGCGCATGCGCGCACACCCACACATTTCCCCCACCCCCCACTTCTGGTGGAGGGGGCAAGGGGAGGGGTGCAGAGAGAAGACAGTTCTGGACCAGACAGTGCTGGACACCATTTTATCCCTGCCCCTCCCGGGCTCTACACCAGACCCCCCCTCCCCCCCAGTTCCTTGGTGAGGACAGCGGTGGAGTGGTAACTTGGTATTTTTTGGAATAAACAGATGTTTCCTGAGCCCCAGTCTCAAGGTTTACTGTCGAGAAGAAATGGGTTTCCACCTCTGCGTCTGTGTCACTGGCCGAGGCGGGGGTGGGCATCTAAGAGTCCATACCGGTGGTCAGGGCTGCCCCCCCCACCCCCCCCAGTCTGTCACCAAGCAAGGAGCTGGGTGTGGGAGGGACCGGTACAGCACCTTGAAAAGTCCTCGGTTTCTTCCAAAGAAAGCCTCTTCCCTGTGTGCATTTAAGCATGTGTTTGCACCTCCTTCTACCTGAGGCCTTTGGCTGAGTCTGGCCGAAGCGGGGTGCTCTGTGCTGTTGGTTTGCTGGGGCCGCTGAACCGAGCAGCTCACGCAACAGAAATGTGCCACCTCCTGGTTCTGCAGGCTGCAGGTCTGCGAGCAAAGGGTCTCCGTGTTGGTTCCTTCTGAGGCAGAGCAGAACTGGTGCTGTGCCGCTCTCCTAGCTTTTGGTGGCTTGCTGGCAACAGCTGGCACTCTACACACACATCATCTTCCCTCTGTACTTTTCTATCTCTGGGTACAAATTTCCCCATTTTCTAAAGGACAACCAGTCATGTTGGAATAGGGCCCATCCTCAGTGACTTCTAAACCCGATCATCTGTAAAGACCCTACTCCCAAAAGGGGTCACCTTCACTGGTCCTGGAGATTAGCAAGGACTTCAATGTCTCTATTCTGGGAGGAGGGGGAGACACAATTCAAGCCATAACAGGGGGTGTTACATGGCACGGTTCACTCAATTACCAGTTTTTGTGATAACAAGGATTTTTCCCCAAGTGAATTAAAATATTTGCATAATGAGGACGAGAGCTGACAGTAAGCCACACTGGGGAGAGTAGGTGCCTCCAAGGCTTTATGAACTTTAGGACACCTGTCCCCTAGGGGCACCAAAGTGTTTGTTCATGAATCGTAGACTTCCATCTTACAGTGAAGGGCTCATTTGCACATCCCTCTGGGGGTGGATTGTGCGTGCAGTTCATTCCAGTATTGATTTTATCTCGAAGATAACCCCTTCCTGGGAAGCCTAATTTCATCTCGAAGATAACACACTTCCTGGGAAGTGTGTGACACTTGATCTCGGGGTTGTGAGTTTGAGCCCCATGTTGGGTGCAGAGATTACTTAAAAATAAAATCCTTTATTAAAAAGGAAAAGAAAATCCCTTCCTCTCTGGTGCATTTGTTTCCCAAATTTTAACATTTATTTATTTTTTGAGAGACTGTAAGCGAGGGAGGGGCAGACAGAGAGGGAGACACAGGATCCGAAGCAGGCTGCAGGCTCTGAGATGTCAGCACAGAGCCTGACATGGGGCCCAAACTCACAAACCAGGAGATCATGACCTGAGCCGAAGTCAGACACTTAAACAACTGAGCCACCCAGGAGCCCGTTTCCCAAATTTTAGATTTTACTTGATTAGTCAGGGTTCTCCAGAAAACTGGAGCCAATAAGACTGTGTGTGTGTGTGTGTGTGTGTGTGTGTGTGTGTGTGTGTGTATTCATTTAAAGGAACTGCTTCCTATGATTGTGGGGTTGGCAAATCCAAGGTCTATGAGGCAGGTCAAAGGCTGGAAATTCAGGCAGGCTTTCCATGTTACAGCCTTGACACAAAATTCTTCTTCTCTGAGATACTTTATCTTTGGTCTTATGGCCTTCAACTGATTGGGTGAGGCCCACCCATGTGATCTTGAAGTCAACGGATAGTAGACATTAATCACATCTACAAAATACCTCACAGCAACATCTGGACTGGGGTTTGACCCAACAAATGGGAATGGTAGGCTGGCAAAGTGGACATGAAATCTAACCATCGCACTGTCCCTTGTGGGGAAGTGGTCACTCCTAGCTTGCTGGAGGGACAGTGTGATCTGCTTTGGAGAAAGCCTCATCCCCTTCCGTGCGGTCAACTGTTCAGCACTGGCCAGAGCTCACCTAGTCAGGTTTATTTGTTTGGCTGTAGATTAGTGGGGCAGGAGGGATGTGTGCAGTGCGCTTGAATCTTGTTGTTATGCTCCCTCGTTAAATGTGTCACCTGGTGAGCGCAAGGGTTGTTTGCATATTTTTAGAAATCACCTCTTCTCATTGGCGTCTTTGTCTGCAGATAACTGGAGAGGGTGGGGGAGAGGTGACCATGCAGCGAATCTAAGTATGGGTTCCCTGAACACGCAACAATTCTCCTTGTAGGGACACAGAAGGACAGTACTCCCCTGTCCCCTTGAGAGCAGATGTTCCCACGTGATGTGCTTGAAGTAGGAACAGAGGTAGACAGAAGCTTCTGAGAGCCCATGTGCAGACAGATCCCCACACTCTGCCTTTCCCCACTGGCAATGTTTCAGGTGATGCCTACTCTGTGGGCCTGCATCCAAGACAGATCAGCCAGGGCCCCAAATAGGGACTTCAGCCAAGCCTCGATGGACATGCGGTGTGAGTGGGAAATAAACCCTGTTCCTTTAACAACGGGGGTTTGGGGGCTACTTGTTACTGCAGCACAGTGTAGTCCATTCTGGCTGTTATAGGTTGCCTGTGGCAGGGGAGGGGGGGGATGGGTGCCTAGAGGCTTTTCGACATATACTCTTTTGTGCTTCTGAATTTTTGTGTCAGTGGGGAGCCCGAGGCAGGGCTCGAACTCACAAACTGTGAGATCATGACCGGAGCTGAAATCGAGTTGGACGCTTGACCGACGGAGCCAGCCAGGCGCCCCTAAAATCAAATATAAATTTAAATGTAAACGGTGCCAGCTTTGACTGGCATTCCCCTCGCTGAGCGTGTGCCCAGGAGGGACTGCAAGATGGCAGGTCCCAGTCTCACTCCTCGGCCCTGCAGAGTGACCACACTGAGTTGCAAGGCCAGGGCTTAAAGGCACGTACTTTTCATTGGACATGGCCTCCATGTGTCCAGTTGCCTTCTTCACTTGTGTTCCACCCAGAAAAGAACAATCTGATCCACACACACCGTGCTTTGGATGGGCAAGTCAAGGCTATGGTCTGACGTGAGCATTTCTGCCTTCGTAGCCTAACACTTGCTCAGTCTGCAACTCCGCCGTGTCAATAAATACAGCTCCCACGAGACTATTCTTAACCCGTTTGACAGGGAGGGCCTGCGAGCTCCTGAAATCTACACCAGACGCCGTGTCCATGTGCCTTCCCCTCTGCCGCCATTAACTTCGGGTTTTGAAATAATTTCAAACTTGCTCAACAGCTACCAGAATAAGTCAGAGAACACCTGTACACCCTTCGCCAATTCACCAGTTGTTAACGTTGCAACACACTGCTTCGGGATTCTCTTTCCGTATAAACACCTTTCTTTTCTTCTCCAGAGGTACATGAGGGTGAGTTGCGCACGTCATACCCTGTTGTCGCAAAGGGGCATTTCTGGAGAACAAGGACGTTCTCTTCCACATCCACAGCACAGGGACCGAAACCAAGCACTTCACGCTGATGAAGCCCACGTTCCGGTTTCACCGACTGTCCCAACCCTGCTTTGGAGCAATTCCTTTTCAGTCCCTGCTGTCTGGGGACGAGCTACTGCATGTGATTGTCATGTCTCTTGAGGCTCCTCTAGTTTGATCAGTCCCTCTGTCTTTCTCACGCCATTGATGCTTTTCAGGAGTCCAGGACGGCTCTTTTGCAGGATGTCCCTGCACCTGGTCCGAGGTCTCCTCATGAGCAGGTCCAGGCCCTGCACGTCCGGCAGGAGATTCAGCAGTGACACCGACCTCTTGGCACATCACCATGGGGACAGCCTGTGCTGGCCACCAGCTGGGACTGCTGCTGTTAGCTTGGACCACTTGGCCGGGGCACCGAGGAGGGGCTGTTCCCCCCTCGGTAAACAGGAAGTACCCTGCCTGAGGGCCCTCGGACTTGTTCCCCCTCAAACTTGTACCTGCTGCTTCAAGCCTCCCTGGGTGATTCTCTTGCCTAGAATCTGGGTGATTCTTACTGTGGTGTCTGCCGAATGATAATTTTCTAATTTCGCTATTCCTCTGGCATTTATTACTTAGCATTTGCACACGATCATTCCAGGGGAACAGGATTCAGTACCCGCGTCAGACTCTGTGAGACACCACTGAATCCGACAACAAATTCACCAGGACTCTCAATGGCACATGGAAGTGACAGACCCCCGTCCCTACCCACGCAACGTTTGGGTTCTTCCCCTTTTCCATTGCTGTAAACAACGCTTGGAGGAACATCTTTCACAAACCGCTTGGTGCGTTCGCTTCTCGTTTCCTAGGATGAGGTCCCAGGAGACGAATGTCTGAGTGGCACGGTGCTGTGTTTTACACATTTGCTACTCAAACGCCACGCTGCAGCCTCAGAAGTCCTGCCGAGTCCGTGGATGTGAGAACATCTCTCTGCCTCCGTCCTCACCGGCACTGATCATTACCCTGCTTGGTCTGGGTGTGCAGCAGAGGTACTGGTTTTACAGCCAGTAAAGGAAGGCCCTGGTGCACGAAAGTGTGTTTTCAGCCAACGTGACGTCTGCACTGCTTTCTAGGGTTTCTAGCTCCTGGAATAGTCGGCGGAAGAAGCGGTTCATTACCAGAGTGTCCATCACCTGATCCATTTCGGGCATCCTTCCAATCAGTGAAGGTCCCTCCCACCCAGGAGAGCTCGAACTCCTGCTCTTGGGACACAAGGGCACGCAGTGTTGTTAATCACCTACTGAGTCAACCGCAGACGGCCAAGTGCTTAGAGGTTTGAAGCCCCCCAGGGGCAGAGGACCTGCTGACCACCACAGACGGTGGCCTCAAAAATGAAGATGGGGGTATTTACACATGGAAAATGTTCAGCCACACCAGGAGGAAAGGAGACAGGGCTGAAGGGGAAAGCACCGTGGTCTGCCCGCGATCGATCATGCATTTTGAAGATCGCCGATATCCAGGCTCATTCCTGCATCAGGACATCGACATCGGCTGCACCCCTGCCCAGAACGGCTTTCTCCACATTTCCACAAAACTTGCTCCCTCACCGCCATTAAGCCTGTACTCAAATGCCTCCTTCTCAAGAAAGTCCACCGTGGCCACCCTGCCTAAAATACCCTCCCATGGCATTCCCAATACTCCTTACCCTGCTCTGATTTCTCAGTAATTAGTATCATTTCACACCACCAACCTTTCCTTACGTACTAGCCTGAGACTTTCCCAGTTTTAGCACCAAAAGTCCCGTGTCTCGCGCAAACCAGGACAGCTGAGCACCTGGGTTTTGTGCCTGGTGTTTACTATCTATCTCCCCCTACAACGAAAGCCCCGGGAAGGCAGGGTTTTGTCTCCTGTCCTGCTCTTGGATCTGTCCCAAGCACCTAGAACAGCGATGGCAAACGGATGGTGCTTACGAAAGAAAAAGAAAAAAGAAAAGAAACATCACTTGTTAGGGAGCCTGGGTGGCTCAGACACTCGAGCGTCCAACTTCGGCTCAGGTCATGATCTCACAGTTTGCGAGTTCAAGCCCCATGATGGGCTCTGTGCTGACAGCTCAGAGCCTGGAGCCTGCTTCAGATTCTGTCTGTCTGTCTGTCTGTCTGTCTGTCTCTATCAATGCCCCTCCTCCACTCGCTTGCGCTCACACGCTCTCTCAAAAATAAATAAACGTTAAAAACAACAACAACAACAACAACAACAGTAAAACACTTGTTAAACAGGTCAGGTCCTGATGGTGGGGAGGATCCAAACAAGGGCCACTTCTAGGCGCTTCTCCCTCAGGAAAGCTCAGGACGGGGCCCAAAGGTAAATGCTCACGTGTGCTCCCTGCAGCTTGTAGCCAAGGACTGGACCTGGAGTAAACGCTCATGGGTCGGAGAGTGCTAGAAAGTGCGGGCGCTCTTCCTGAGGAGCAGGGCACACCCACCCCCCAGGGCAGGTGTGTGTGGACGTGTGCGCGCACAGACATGAGCACAGCCGCTCCGGGACCCCCGGGGTACTCACAGGGGTAGCCGAGGGGGTGCGCGTGAGATGGGGGGAGGACAGAGCTGCACCTCCCGTCTTTCCTTCCTGCACCCCAGTAGCCATGCAAGCTCCCCCCAGGAACCTACTTCTCTCATCATGGAATACAAACAAACAGTAGACGTGAAAATCGATTTGGGAGGCTAGAATTCAGGCTGAAGGGACAACCTGGGTTTCAATGCAGAAGATGTTTCTGGGCCGGGGCGCCTGGGTGGCTCACTCGGTTTGAGCTTCCGACTTTGGTTCAGGTCATGATCTCGGGGCTTGTGAGTCCGAGCCCCGCATGGGGCTCTCTGCTGTCAGCACAGAGTTAGCTTCGGATCCTCTGTCCCCCTCTCCCTGCCCCTCCCCCGTGCTCGGTCTCTCTCAAAAATAAAACATTAAAAAAAAAAAAAAAAAAAAAAGAGTAAGCTTCCGGGTCACCAGTATTTAGCAAAGGGAAGGCACCCTATGCCCACCCTTCCCCACCTCTCCCAAACTGACTCAGGGCCATCACTAGGCCACCTCCCGACTAATTCTCCAATCTGTCCTCTTCTCTCCAACTGCCAAGGCCACCGCTTTAGCTTCTTTCCCTGAGCATGAGGCATCTGAGCTTTCTCCGTCTTGGAGCATGTGCAGGAATTTCATTCTTTCTGTGGCCATAGAACAGCCCATTGTATGGGAGGCACCACAGCTGGTGTGGCCATTCCTCAGCTGATGAACTTCTGGGGTGTTTCCACCTTTTGGTCGTCGTGAATAATGCCGTTGGCAACACCTAAGTGTGACTTTTTGTGCAAACGTCTGTTTTCAATTATCTGGAGTAATAATCAGAACCATGGGTTCACACAGTAGCTGTATTTACATCTGAGGGATTGCCAGAATGTTTTCCAAAGCAGCGGTACCATTTATCATTCCCACCAGCCATGGGTGAGAGTTCTGATCTCTTGGGGCACCTGGGTGGCTTGGTTAGTTAAGTGTCTGACTCTTTTTAAATTTTTTTTTTAATGGTTACTTATTTTTGAAAGAGAAACAGAGCGTGAGCAGGGGAGGGGCAGACAGAGAGGGAGACACAGAATCCGCGACAGGCTCCAGGCTCCGAGCTGTCAGCACAGAGCCCAACATGGGGCTCGAACCCATGAACCGTGAGATCATGACCTCAGTAGGACACTTAACCAACTGAACCACTCAGGCATCCTGAGGGTCCAACTCTTGACCTCAACTCAGGTCGTGATCTCACAGTTCAAGGGATCAAGCCCCACGCTGGGCTCTGTGCTGACAGTGCATGGAGCCTGCTTGGGATTCTCTCACTCCCTCTCTGCCCTCCCCTGTTTGTACTCTCTTTCTCTCAAGATTAATAAACATTGAAAAAAAAAAAAAAAAGAGCTCCAATTTGTCCACACCCTCTCCAACACTTGCTATAGGCTGACTTTTTTTTATAACTGCCACCCTGGTGGTATAAACTGGGATCCCATTGTGGTTTTAGGTGGCATTTCCCTCATGGCTAATGTTGTTGAGCATTTTTGTCACATGCTTACTGGCCACATACAGATCATTTCCCTGCCACCACAGTCCCTTCTCAGGATCTGCAATGGTCTCCTCCCTGGCAGGGAGGCAGGGCTGTTCATTCTTTCCTCCACCCAGCAGTCAAGTAACCTGCAAACACCCGAGTCAGACCACAGCACTGCTCTGCTCAAAACCCTGCAGTGGCTCCCTACTACCTCAGAGAAAGGGGCAGAGTTCTAACCATGGCTTGGAAGGCCCTGCATGAGACCTCCCACCCCAACCTCATCCCCCCTCCACTCCTCCCCACCTTCCAGCCACACTGGCCTCCCTGCAGTTCCTCAGATGTTCCAGCTGTTCCTGCTGCTGCCTGGAATGCTCTTCTCTGATAAGCCTATAGCTCACTTCTCGCCTTCCTTCCGACCTGGGTTCAGATGACACCTGCTTGCCGAGGCCTACCCTGGCCGCCTAGCTTAACATTTGCAGGACCTAGTGCCCCGAGCCCCTTCCTGTGCTCCTGTCTTTGTCCACAGCTCTTGCTCCTTCTACATACTCCAAGTCTTACGAATTTATTGGACTGTTTTATGTCTGCCCTGGCCCACTACAGCAAACCCCACTTGGGCAAAGATCTTTGTCTGTTTCCTGAGGTACCCTAAGCACCCAGAATGGTCCCCGGCACACACTAGGTGCTCAGCAAACATCTGCTGAGTGAATGAACACCCCTGACCTGTCAGGCATCCTTCTGGGGGCTGAGGACAGAGTCCCTGATCTCCTGGAGCTCACCTAATCAGCGGTGACAGCAGTAAACACGTCCTAAGTGATCAAGAAATGACAAATTTCGACAGACCAAGATCAAAGAGAGTGGAGTATGCCAGCGAGCAAGGCAGTGGAAAGTTCTCCAGGTACAAGGGACCCACGCCCAAATGTTCTCAGGTCAGACAGCTTGGCAGATACCGGGGACCAACAGAAAGGCAGCCCAGGGGGCTTTGGGGAGTGTGCTGTTGGCAGCTTGGAGTCTAGTCAAAATGTAGCAGGGCAGAAGGGTCCTGCGAAGTTTCCAGCAGGGACAGTCCCTGTCGGGATTGGGATTCCAGGGGATGGTAAACAAGGACCTACCCAAGGGCCACTCGGGCCACTACCTGTTCCTGTAAACAAAGCCTAAGCGGAACACGGCCACCTCTTCCTCTTCATGTTGGCGAGGCCACTAAAGCAGGGCTGAGCAGTGGGTTGAGACAGAGACCCACAGTGCACAAAGCTGAAAGCCTTTTCTGAAAAGGTCTGCTGACCTCAATTTCAAGTGACCGTTCAGGGGGTAGGTGACCCCTCCCTCTCCCCCACAGCAGGTCCTGTTGACTTTCACCGAACCCCAACCCCTCTCCCCACCCCGACTGCCACAAACCTGCTCAGCACGGTCTTCATCCCCACCTCCATGGCTGTCAGCACTTCCTCCTCGGCCTCTCTGTTCTCTACCAGAAGTCAGACGGAGTCGTGCTCGGCTCAGAGCCTCCCGCGGCTCCTCCTTGATCGAAAAGAACACACTGTTCACTGCGGCCTGGACCCGAGACCTGCCTCTTCCCTTTCTCTAAAGGTTCCCCCCACCCCATCACTCCCTGTCTCCCCCCACCTCCCAGCGCAGGCCCTGATATTCCCTCCTTCGGTCTTTATCGCACTCCCACAGCACATTATAATATTTGCTTGCCTGCCTGGCACCCCCAGGAGAGCTGCCAGGGGTTTTGCCCCTTGTTACCCTCCGCCTGTTCCAAAAGCTTCGTGCGTGCACATCGCGCTCCCACCCGACAGGGCTGCCGTCTGCAATGGAACGAGGGCAGTGCCTGGCGCGCAGCTCGCAGGGGCTGCATCATGACCGTCACTATCGGCACGGTTGTGTCTTTTGGATGCATTCTTGCAGCAGGGCCGGGCTTGACTACCATACCACCTCGACCTTGTCTCTGCTTGGGGGGTGGGGGGAACCTGGGCGAGGCCCCTGCTTCTTCCCTCAGTGTCCTTGAGCGCCCCTCGGGTCAGAGTCCCCTGCAACCGGCTGGCTGGGACTGAGGGCCAGGTGGGGCTCGCCAGTACGCGGCGGATCCTCCATGGGTGCTGCTTACGACAACAGTGGGGTCCCTGCTGCTGGAGCTCGGGCCGCATGCACGAGGGAGGCGGCTCAGGGGTCTTCCCGGGACGCGTGGCGGGCAGGGATGGGAGGCCGAGGCCGGTGCCCGGGACACGGCGAGGACAAGGGGACACCATTCCCCGGCGCGGGGCTGCAGGGTGGCTAGGTCCGTCGGGGACACGGGGACACCGCCGCGGGGCTACAGGGTGGAGACGGGACCACTGGCGGGCAGCGCCAGGCCCCGACCTCCTTCCGGCACATCCCGAGGGAGCCCGGCGCCCGCCTCCCGTGTGGGGAAACAGAAACCCGACGTCGTGATTGCCACCTGGCCAGAGTCACAGGCCACAGACGGCCAAGCCCTCAAGGCCGTGCAACCTGCTCCTGCCCCGCCCGCGACACACGACACGGGTCACGGGGCAGTGCCCGCACAAAATGGCGCCTCGTAGAAAAATTCAGCCGACTCCTAGCGCCCATCCCCACCGCGGGCTGAGGAGCGGGCGCGGACGGCCGCGCACACCTAATTTGCATATACAAAACCGACGAACTTCGTTGGCTACGAACGGCTTGGCCCGACCTAGACAAGGTTCCCATTGGTTACTCTCCACTCCTTCCCGCCCCCTGGCACCGCCTTCTCCATCAAGGACTGGCGCTTACGAGCCCCGTGACGCCATTCCACCATTACGTGTCCCCATTGGCCAGGGAGCCTTCCGTCATCCGTTTAAACCCCCCGAGTCCCGCCCTCCCATGCCCCTCCCCGGCTCCGCGGCCGACCGTTACTCGCGTGCGCGATTTCCTGGGCGTCAGGGCACGCGCGCGTACGCCGGGCGGAGGAGGCGACTCATTCAAACGGCCCAATCAGCGGTCGCGTTGCCTCTCGCTTCCTCTCCTTCTCTACTCTCCCGCCTCAGAGCCCCCATTCTCCGGGGACCCCATTACGACCCCCGTGCGTCCCCATTGGCCGACCTGCCGCGCGCCCCCCTCCCCAACTTCTCCTGCTTCTGCCCGCAGCTTGCGGGAAGGGAGCGAGCGCCCCGAACGCCGAGGACCTTGCGCGGTGACGTCACGGGTCGAGGCGCGGCGCTCCGGGGCCGCGGGGGGGGGGGGTGTGGCCTACGGACGGCTACAAAAGGGCGGCGGTGCGCGCGCGACCGGCTCAGTGCGGCTGGGCGCTCGGGGCAGGAAGAGTTCTACGCGCTCAGCGCGGCGGGCGTCGGAGGCAGCGGGGAGTGGAGCGGAGCTGCCGGGGCCTCCCTAGGGCCGCAGCGGCAGCAGTTGGGCCCCCCGCCCCAGCCGGCGGCCCGCAGAGCGCAGGAAGGGGGCCGGGGGGACCCGCCCCCGGCCGGCCACAGTCATGGTGAGCGCGGAGGCCAGGCCCGGGAGGGGCGGTCAGGGGCCCCCCTGGAGGAGGAGGCGGGGTCTCAGGAGACTCTCGCGGACTCACTGGGGTATCGGGGGGGCCCGCCTGGGGTCCCGGGCCTGGGATGGGCCAGCGGGCCCTCCTGGAGGCGGGGCAGGAGCGGAACCTGGGCGGCCCGCAGGTTCCCCAGAGGGGAAGGACCGGCTGAGTCCCGGAGAGGGCTCTGGGGCTTTGTGGCTCGCCCGTGGGTGTTCCGGGAGCAAGGACGCTCCGCCTCCATCTCCAGGCCCGAGCTGGGGTTTCGAAGATGGTTTCACCAAGGTTAGGTAGGGAGAGGGACCAGGGTAGGCCTCGGGCGTACCCCCAAACACTGGGGACCATGCCTGACTGTGAGCAAGACTTGGGGGCTTCTGGAGAAGGCAGAACCATCCACAAGCCCCTTGGAAGGCCCGTCCCCATTTCTGGTGGGAGGTCAGCTTTGGACGGCCATCTGGAGCATGCTGGGTGGGGGATCTGGGGACTGCGGGATCAACACCAGCGTGGCCACTGCATCCTTAGATCCAGGAAGCCCCGGCTCCACCAGCTACCCACCCCTTCTCTTCTGTGTCCAGAACTCCAATGTGGAGAACCTGCCCCCCCACATCATTCGCCTGGTGTATAAGGAGGTGACCACGCTGACTGCTGACCCGCCTGATGGCATCAAGGTGTTCCCCAACGAGGAAGACCTCACTGACCTGCAGGTCACCATTGAGGGCCCTGGTGAGTGTGGGCAGGAGGAGTGTGCTTGTGGGTTCCTCTTTAGTACGAGAATGGGTCGGAAAGAAAGACAGTTTCCACGTGATTTCACTTATACGTGGCATCTAGAAAACAAACAAACCAACCAACCAAAAAAGCAGAACTAGAACAATAGGAAGCTCCAGTTACAAGTTGGACTGTGCCGGGTGCTGGGGACGCAGTGGTGGACCAGGGAGCCCTCTGACTTGGTGCTCACGGCTTGCAGGGCCGGACGCCACAACCACTGATCGTGTACATGTTTCCTGCAAGGTGGCGAGAGCATCTAATGGGGGCTGTAGCAGGCTTGTCAGGTAGGGGTTCTCTGGGGCCTGGAGGGTGGGCCGGATGACCGCACACTCCTTGCTGTCACGTCCGGGACCCACAGGACAGAGCAGGGAACTAGCTGGACACGGTGTTGCAAGAGGGAACAGCAATAACCAGGTGATTATGTGTGATCGTTTAACCGTGCAGTGAATTAGCGTGCTGCTTCTACACAGTGACACGAGAGGTTGCGAGAGCGCATGGTGAAGGACTTGGCCGCGCATGGGACAGTGGGGAGGGCGTCAGGGAAGACTTCTGGGTTATCATCGCGCAGTGCTGGATGGCGATAGGCCAGGTTCCAAGGCAGGCGCCGTGGGTACTTTGTAGGGACAGAGAAGAGACTGATGAAGCTTTCAGGGAGCAGAAGAGTCTGTAAGGAGTTGGGAAAGGAAGCCATTGGTGGGTTCAAAGATGTGATGGCTGCAGTGTTCCTTTGACAGGGAGGGGGCAGGGCGGTCAGGAAACTATTAACCGCTGGCCTCGGGAAAGAGGTGACCGTAGAGGTGGGGTCAGGTGCAGGAGGGGCGCCTAGACATCAGTCGCCAGGCTACCACCGAGGGATGTGGGGATTGGGGTACGAGGAACAACAGTGGGTACAGAACTGCTCCCTCGTGTGTGTGTGTGTGTCATGAACAAGTGGGTGGACGAGAACCTTTCACTGAGGCAGGCTGGCGGGCAGACCTGGAGTTGACAACAGCCCCATCATTTGCCTGCGGGCCTTCCGAGAAGATCTTCCTGCTTCCTAGAAGATCTGTGGGTGGGAGCGTCTGCCCTCGGGAAGGAGAGAGGAGGCGTCTGGGGGTGGCTGCCAGCACCAGGTCAGGGCCAACACCCTGAGGCAGGGAGCTGAGCCTCACTCCACTCTCACCAAAGCCTCGGTCTTGTGGGGGGTAGGGGGGGTGGCGGCAGGGCACTGGGCTCACAGCCAGACTGGAGACTGGGCGTCCTGACCCGGCCCCCTCCTGCACTCCAGAGGGGACCCCTTATGCCGGAGGCCTGTTCCGCATGAAGCTCCTGCTGGGGAAGGACTTTCCCGCCTCCCCGCCCAAGGGCTACTTCCTGACCAAGATTTTCCACCCCAACGTGGGCGCCAACGGTGAGATCTGCGTCAATGTGCTCAAGAGGGACTGGACAGCGGAGCTGGGCATCCGGCATGTGCTGCTGGTGAGTTCTTGGCGGGGGGCTCCCCCCTCCTGGACATCCCAGTGGCGCCTGGGCTGTGGTGCATTCTTTCTTTTTTAAAATAAACTCTGAAGTTGTTGGGGGCTTCTGTGTAAAAGTCCAGGTTTCCAGCTGGAAAATTCTGGAGGCTTGGCAGTGCTTGACCCACTGAGCGTGGTTGTACAGGTTGTGCCGTGCCTGGTGTACCTTTGCTGTGTGTGGAAAGCGCAAGGGGTTTGTGTAATGGGACACTTTCCTGATGGAGCAAGTCAGGCATCAGGGGAGGGGGGAGTTGGTTTCAAGTTGTAATTTACAGTATGAAATTCCTGGACCATACGGTTCATTGGTTACGCGGGAGTCACAGAATTTGTACAGCCGTCACTGCCGTAGCTCAAACCTGTCGTTTCCACCAGGAGCAACTCTGCTCCACCAGGGACGGCGTGTGGTAGGGGACTCTTACTTGTTGCATCGAGTGGGAAGCCCAGGCGCTCGTGCTGCTCTGCGGCCTCACGGAGGGTGATTCGGACTCTGTGTCCACTGAGCCCAGGTGGAGACACCCATCATCTCCACGGCCACTAAGGCATTTAGGTCACATGCTGCCTCCCCACCCCACTCAAAGCTTACAAAAGGTTTCTGAGGGGCACCTGGCTGGCTCAGTCGGTAGGATTGTGACTCTTAACCTTGGGGTCGTGAGTTCCAGCCCCATGTTGGGCATGGGGGCTACTTCAAAAAAAAAGCACATTTTTTTGAAAATGGAATTGCTCTGGAGCCCTGGGGCAGATGGTAGGGGTGGGGACGCGGAGTTTCCTGCTGGGCACTTGGGGAGGATGGAGCTCCAAGGTAAACATACTTTGTCCTCCTCTCCCGGTCGTGTCTGCAGCGGCTGCCAGGGACTCTGGAGGTGAGCTCACAGAGTGACTCTGTGTCCCCGATGATCCCTAGGAGCTTGGGTCTGGCTCCAGCCGTGAGGGAGCGCCTGAGGGGCCTGTGGGTGTGGGGCCAGAGCTTAGCATTGGGTGTGGTCCTGGGTCCCTGCTCAGCATCAGTGGTGTTTGCTGGGCCATGTGCCTTGCCTGTCACAGCAGCCAGGGGACCACCTGTTCTCGTCCTTGTTTACAGGCCAGAAGGGTCGTGTCCCCTGCTTGAGGCACGGTTAGGGCCCTGCAGGCTAGGCTCCCTTTCATAGTGGCCAAAAGGGGGGTTGGGACAGACCCCACTGTAGCTGGTCTCGCTCCACGCCTTCACGGAGCCCGTGCACGTCTGGCTTCGGTTTACCCCCCAGTTAAAGGGGTGTGGGGATCGGCTCCCTTCCTACACCTCCCTCTGGTTGTTCCTCACGGGCCAGGTCCCTTTATTTACACCCTGATGCCTTTCTCCGTCCGGCCCGCCCACCGGAGTCGGGCTCTTCTTTGGTACCTTTGGTGACAGCCCTGGGTTTTTATGTGTCCTGTTTATGTTGAGAGATGAACAGCCCTGGAGTCCCAGCAGGCCCAGGTGTGAGTTCCTAAGCTGTCTCCCTTGCTTCCTGAGTGACCTCGGGCAAGTCCCTTCCCTCTCCAGTCCAGGCCTCGATCACAGGGGACACAGGTGTGAGCTGGGCCAGCGTCTTGTTGGGGGACAGCATCGGGAACAGGGAGCAGCCGGTGTGGAGGCCACGAGGCCCAGCCCCCTGACCTTGGTCCTCTGCCCGCAGACCATCAAGTGCCTGCTGATCCACCCTAACCCCGAGTCTGCCCTCAACGAGGAGGCTGGCCGCCTGCTCCTGGAGAACTACGAGGAGTACGCCGCCCGAGCCCGCCTGCTCACGGAGATCCACGGGGGCGCCAGCGGGCCCAGCAGCGCCGAGGCCGGCCGGGCCCCGTGTGCGGGCGCAGCCCCCTCTGCTGACCCCCTGGCTCCCGGGGGTCCTGGAGGAGCCGATGGCCCCATGGCCAAGAAGCACGCGGGTGAGCGGGACAAGAAGCTGGCAGCCAAGAAAAAGACGGACAAGAAGCGGGCGCTGCGGCGGCTGTAGTGGCTCTTCTTCAGCCCTCCCCACCTCCCCCTCCCCGACACTGACCCCCAACTCTGTCTCTAAGTTATTTAA